GGCTGGGTAAAAGAATCCTGGGGGATGACTGTCCTTTCCTCCCCACCCTGGCAGGGAGAGCTTATCCGCAAGACACAAACTAACTGGACAAGTCAACCAGTAATTCACGTATTATGGTCAACTGGAGGTGAAAGTGAATAGCTGCCTTTGGTCTCTGACTCAGAACCTGTCTTTTAAGGGATGTCCCCATGTTCACTCAGGGGAAGTCAGATGGAGCCTGTTTATTTTATCTTATTTAATGTTTATTTATTTTTAGAGCATGAGAGGGGGAGGGACAGAGAGATGGAGACACATAATCCAAAGCAGGCTCCAGGCTCTGAACTGTCAGGGCAGAGCCTAACATGGGGCTCCAACTTGTGAACCACAAGATCATGACCTGGGCCAAAGTTGGATGCCCAACTGACTGAGCCACCCAGGCGCCCAAGACAGAACCTTTATGTGGAAGACAGGGGTATGAAAGAAACCCTGCTTGTGTGTCAGGCACCCTGCATTCTGGCCTCAGGTCTGACATAATTTGTATGACATTGGGGAAGTCCCTTTCCCCATTCCCCCAGAGAAAGGTATACCTCTCTGTGTCCCATTTTGTACACGAAGGCTAGGTTTTCACACTTCATTGAAGCACAATTTAAAAATGTTAAAAGTGTACCCATTTAAAATATACAATTGGAGCGCCTAGGTGGCTCGGTTGGTTAAGCATCTGACTCTTGATTTCAGTTCAGGTCATGATCTCATGGTTCGTGAGTTCAAGCCCTGCCTTGGGTTCTATGCTGCCAGCATGGAACCTGCTTGGGATCTCTCTCTCAAAATAATAAGTGTAAAAAAAATAATAATAAAATATACACTTCACGGAGTTTTGACAAATGCTTGCACTTGTATCTCCACCACCATATATTTGTGTCAAATAAAAAAAAATTACCAAGACCAATTTCAAGACTGCCCCTATGTTTTCTTCTAGATTTATTGTTTCAGGTCTTACATTCAAATGCTTCGTCCATTTAGGGCTGACTTTCATTTCTGGTATGACTGGTGTCCAGATTCATTCTTTTGTATGTAATAGCCCACATTTTGCTAATATAATTTATTGGAGACTATCCTTTCTGAATTGTATATTCTTGGCTCCTTTGTCTTTATAAATTGACAAATCCATATAAACATGGGTTTGTTTCTGGGCTCTCTATTCTGTTCCATTGATATTTATGTGTTTCTATGCCAATAGTGAGATTTAAAGTCTTGCTTAATTCCAAATTCTCATATTCTTGGAGGATGATTTCATATTTATAAAATTCTAAACACTGTTTATCAGGTTAATTTCATACAATATTCTGTGATGAGGCTGTATTCTTCTAATACCTCCCCTTTCACAGAACCTTCACAATCAGATAAAGGGTGTTTCATTAAAGCACAAGGACTTAAATGCTTTCTAACTAGCTAAACAGGTCACCAACTGACTTTGGCACTCTATAATCCCAAAGTCATTTCTCACTCAGTCATACCTGCATAATTTTATGATGAAAACATCAATATAAAGCGATACCTTTGCCTGTGACACTTCATAGATACTGTTACGCAATGAAGCCACAATAAATAAAGCACTTTACTTACTAACACTGATCCTACCATGTCACACAGAGGGAGAACCCTCATGAAATGAGCCCTCACTGACTGACTCTGTCTTTCTCAATCACTTCATTTCTCTGCAGGTTTGTTCCTCTATCCATTTTCTATTGCTCCTGTAACAGATTACTACAAACTGAGAGGCTTAAAACACTGCATATGTATTACTGCACAGTTTCTGTAGACAATATATAGTAGGATCTTCATTTTGGGCCCACTCTGAAAATCTTCTAATTAATTAGTTTTTTGCCAAAGTGATTACTGATATAGATTAACATATACCATATTTGTCACTAATTTCTATTCATCACTCTTGTTCTTTGTCCCAATTTGTCTTCTACTCTTTTCCTGCTTTTCATGGTTTTAACATAGCATTTTATAGGACCCCCATCTTCTTTTGTCTCTTAGAAGATCAGTTATACTTTTTGTTACCTTTTTAATTGGTTGTTCTAGAATTTGCAATAAACATTGACAACTAATCCAAATCTATTTCTTTTTAATGTCGATTTTATTTTTGAGAGAGAGAGAGAAAGTGAGATGCGGCAAGGAGAGAAGAGGCAGAAAGAGAAGGACACAGAGGATGCAAAGTAAGCTCTGCACTGACTACGGGACTCAAACCCACAAACCGTGAGATCATGACTTAAACTGAAGTCAGACACTTAACCGACTGAGTCACCCAGGTGCCCCTCCAAATCTAATTTCAAACACTATACCACTTCATGGATACTTTACCTTATCATAACAAAATGACCTAAACTCCTCCCTCCAGTCCCTTTTATCACTGATGTCATTCATCCCATAAATATGAAAGCTTAATATCTACACATACATTAATATAATCATAAATAATGGAATATATTGTTGGTGTAACAACTGTTTGGTTCAGTTGGCAGAGCATGAGATTCTTAATCTCAGGGCCATGAGTTTAGGCCCCGTGTTGGGTGTGGAGCATACTTAAAATTTTTTAAATAATAATAATCATAATAATTATAAAAGAAAATACTTTTTTATGTTGTTATTCCTCCTGTGATACTCATCCTTTTTAATGTAGATCCAAGCTTCTGACCTTTATCACTTCCATTATCTCTAAAGTTCTTTTCACAATTCTTGCAAGCAAGATCCTATGGTCACTTTTTTCCCTAAATTCATGTAAGAAAATCCTAACCCCTAAATGACACCTTTGGGAGGTGCTTAAGTTATGAGGTTGGAGCCCTCAGGAATATGCTTACTGCCTTTATAAAAGGGGCTCCACACAGATCCTTTATTTCTGGGGTGCCTGGTTGGCTCAATCAGTTAAGCACCCAACTTTGATCTCAGGGTCGTGAATTAAAGCCCCGTGTTGGGCTCCATCCTGGACCAGGAGCCTGCTATCCCTAATTTCTTCAATCATACAGAGACATAGCAAGAAAAGCCAAGTAGGAACCAGAAGGAGTATCCTGACCAGAGAACTCACCCATGATGGCACCTTGGCCTTGGACTTCCCAGCCTCCAGAACTATGAGAAATGAATATCTATCTTTCTACAAATTACCCAGTTTGGAGTATTTTGTTCTATCACCCAAAATGGAGTAAGATGGTAAGTTTGCTGGCAAAAAAAAAAAAAAAATTCCCTAGTTTTTCTTTCAGAAATGCTGTTTGCCCTGCACCACTGAAGGATAATTTTGCCAGGTAGAGAATTCTAGCCTGATGAGATCTTCTCTCAACACTAAATATTTCATTCCTCTCCCATCTTGCTTGCATGATTTCTGAGAAGACGGATGTTAAGTGTTTTCTGGAGTGAAGGTATTTTCCTCACACAAGCTTCTTTAATAACTTTATGATTTCAAGGAAGTTGAAAATAAAACACCTACATGTTTATCCTGTTAAGTGTACTCTAAGCTTGCTGGATCTCTGGTTCATTGCCCTTAACAATTTATTTCGAAAAATATAACTGCTATGGAGACTTGTACATATCAAGTCTGGCACCACAGACTGACACCACAGCATGTGTGGGTTGGGTCATGGACCTCTGGGCCACATGGCCTGTGCTGTGTCCCTCAGGGAACTACTGGGAAAAGAGTGGCTAGAACTCTAGGCAGGTCACTGTCTTAGAGACCCACAGTGGGAAGTCCACATGCAGAGGAAAAAGGGACACTCAGCCCATTGAGACCTACCTAAATAGCATCCCTGTGTATGCCACCCTCCCTCAGTTGTCTCTCCCCATGCCCTGCATGTCAACCCAGCCCTCCAACCTGACACAGTGGTCCCCTGGCATGCCCCACACTGCAGTCCACAGGACTCAACCACTTCTTCAAAGTCCTATCTGAGATGCGACCACACTCACACCAGGGTCTGCAAAGGAAAAGACCTCACCATGCTACTGCACAGAATGCTACCTCTTGCCTCTTCATTCTGGACGAGCCCCTGCTCCACATGACCAGTTAGGTAGCACAAGACCGTAACCTCCCTAAGATGAGTCTTTCTCTGCAAGACACCACCCAGATCTCAGATCAGATACTATGGATAAACACTGAGTCATGTCAACGTCCTAACTTAGAAGGGAATGAGAAGTTCTAATAATCCATAATTCCCATCAGCAATAACAAACCACAGAGGTCAGCTTGCCATAGCATATTCAGGTGGTGACTGATATACATTCTGAGAACCTGCCAGGTTGGCGAAGTTAAGTGACTTCTGCTACACAAACTGGCAGTGACTTCAATCTAGCAATGACTCCACACACCTTAGAAGCATAATGCAGCTCCTGAAGTTTTCCCAAATACTGGAACTTATGGGAAGTCATTCCACTGTGGACATTCAAGTGAACAAAGTTCGTTCCAGGTAAGTGGCTGCTTCACAAAGGCTCTCCTCCACTGTGATTACACTACTCAAGGAAATATCACCTGCTCTGCTACTTTAAAGCCTTTCTGCAGTGTGTACTCTGAGTGTGAAATGAAGACAAATGACTGCCTAAAGGAACTGTGTCATTCCCCTCACTCATGAAGTCTTGCTCCAGGGTAATTTCCAATTTTTATGAAGCTGCGTCTTTGGCCAAAAGATTCTCCACATTCGTCACATTTGTCTTAGCTCGGGTTGCTCTAACAAAGTACCATAAACTAGGTGACTTGTAAACAACAGAAACTTCTTTCTGGAGGCTGGATATCTGACATAACATTCCCTATAGAGTCTGGTCCCGTGTCTGGGGAGGAGCAGCTTCCTGATCAATAGATGATCTTCTCAAAGGGTCCTCACATGGTACACTGAGGAAGCAAGCTCTCTTAGAACTGGTATGAGGACAATAATCCCATTCATGAGGGCTCCACACTCATGACCCATTCTGATTCAAATTACCTCCCAAAGACATCATCTGCTAATCCTGAATAGAGGAAGAGAACATATGACTCTTAGTGAACATAAACAGTTCATAATATCACTCATAAGGGCTTCATCTACTATACTTTCTGTTGTTGAGTGAGACTGGAGCTTTGGCTGAAAGACTGGCCACATTCACAGCTCTCCTAAGGCCTTTCTCCAGTGTGAACTCTTTGATGATAACTAAGAGCAGGATGGCTGATAAAAGATTTCCCACATTCACTGCACTCATAAGGACTTTCTCCTGTGTGAATTCTCTGGTGTTGAATGAATGTTGCCTTCCACTTAAAAGATTTTCCACATTAATTACAATTATAAGGCCTTTCACCTGAGTGAACCTTTATGTGTACATTGAGGCTGTTTCTTCGGAGAAAGGACTTGCCACATTCACTGCACTCATAAGGTCTTTCTCCAGTGTGAACTCTCTGATGAGCATGTAGGACAGAACTAGCGGTAAAAGATTTCCCACACTGACTGCACTCATAAGGCCTTTCTCCAGTGTGCACTCTCTGGTGAGATCGGAGGGAATAACTACAAGCAAAAGATTTCCCACACTCACTACACTTGTAAGGCCTTACTCCAAGGTGACTTTGATGATGATACTGGAGGGCGTGGCTACGACTAAAAGATTTCCCACATTTATTACACAGATAAGGCTTTTCTCCTGTGTGAATTCTCTGGTGTTCAAGGAGTTTTGACTTGCAGGTGAAAGATTTTGCACATTCATTGCACTTATAAGGCATTTCACCAGAATGAACCTTTCTGTGTACTTTGAGGCTATTTCTTTGGATAAAGGACTTGCCACATTCACTGCATTCATAAGGCCTTTCTCCACTATGAACTCTCTGGTGATAAAGGAGGACAGACCTAGTGGTAAAAGACTTCCCACATTCACTGCACTCATAAGGTCTTTCTCCAGTGTGAACTCTCTTGTGATTACGGAGGATAGAGCTAGCGGTAAAAGATTTCCCACATTCGGTGCACTCATAAGGTCTTTCTCCAGTGTGAACTCTCTGGTGAGAACGAAGGACAGAACTAGTGGAAAAAGGTTTCCCACACTCACTGCACTCATAAGGCCTTTCTCCTGTGTGAACTCTCTGGTGTTCAATGAATGATGACTTACACTTAAAAGATTTTCCACATTCATTACACTTGTAAGGCTTTTCATCTGAGTGCACCTTTAGGTGTACATTGAGGTTATTTCTTCGGGAAAAGGACTTGCCACATTCACTGCACTCATAAGGCCTTTCCCCAGTGTGAACTCTGTGATGATAATGAAGGTCAGACCTAGAGAAAAAAGATTTCCCACATTCACTGCACTCATACGGCCTTTCTCCAGTGTGAACTCTCTGGTGATAATGGAGGGCAGAAGTGTCAGCAAAAGATTTCCCACACTCACTGCACTCATAAGGCCTTTCTCCAGTGTGAAATCTCTGGTGATAACGAAGGCCAGAACTAGTGGTAAAAGATTTCCCACACTCACTGCACTCATAAGGCCTTTCTCCAGTGTGAACTCTCTGGTGTTGAATACATGCTGACTTACACTTAAAAGATTTCCCACATTCATTACACTTGTAAGGCCTTTCATCTGAATGAACCTTTGCATGTACATTCAGGTTATTTCTTCGGAGAAAGGACTTGCCACATTCACTGCACTCATACGGCCTTTCTCCAGTGTGAACTCTATGATGATAATGGAGGTCAGACTTTGAGAAAAAAGATTTCCCACACTGATTGCATTCATAAGGCCTTTCTCCTGTGTGAACTCTCTGGTGAGAACGGAGAGCAAAAGGAGTAGTAAAAGATTTCCCACATTCACTGCAGTCATAAGGTTTTTCTCCAGTGTGAACTCTCTGGTGGTAACGAAGGGCAGAAGTATGGGTAAAAGATTTCCCACATTCGCTGCACTCATAAGGTCTTTCTCCTGTGTGAACTCTCTGGTGAGAACGGAGAGCAGAAGGAGTAGTAAAAGATTTCCCACATTCACTGCACTCATAAGGCCTTTCTCCAGTGTGAACTCTCTGATGACAACGGAGAGCAGAAGGAGTAGTAAAAGATTTCCCACATTCTCTGCATTCATAAGGCTTTTCTCCAGTATGAACTCTCTGATGATATCTGAGGGCAGAAGTATCAGTAAAAGATTTCCCACATTCTCTGCATTCATAAGGCTTTTCTCCAGTGTGAACTCTGCAATGGTAACGAAGACCAGTCCTGGAAATAAAAGCCTTCCCACATTTACTGCACTCATAAGGCCTCTCTCCAGAGTGAACTATGTAATGGTAATGGAGGCCAGTCCTGGAAGTAAAAGACTTCCCACATTCATTGCACCTGTAAGGTCTTTCTCCTGTGTGAGATCTCTGATGATAAGTGAGGGCAGAGATAGAGGTAAAACATTTTGCACAGTCACCACAATTATAAGGCCTTTCTAAGGGTTGAACAGAATGTATAATTGGAACTGAACTATGGCTAAAAGATTCTGCACATCCAATGCAAACATAATCATTTTCTCCACTGTGCCCTGTCTGGGGACGAATAAGCATAGATTTGTGGCTTAAGGATTTCCCACATTTGTTGCACGTGTATTGCCTGGACCCAGTGTGAGTCTTCCCATGGGCAGTGTGAGTTGACATTTGTCTTAGCAATTTTCCACATTTGCTAAACTCATGATGTCTTTCTGCAGTATGGAATCTCTGGTGGATATCGAATAAAGATTTGTACCTGAATGTTTTCCCACATTCACTGCACATAAAACACGGTCCTCCAGGTTGGACACCCTGATCCTGAACATGTGTATGTTCAGGACCAAAGACTTCCTTGCAATCTCCCCAAGTGTAATGACCTTTACTGCTCTGTAAAGTTGCCCTGCACTGGCTGACTGTGTTTGGCTTCTCTCCAATAGGAGTGGCGTCTTGCTGTAGATGCCCAGAGCCAGGCACGAATTCCTTCTGAACCTCAGTACAGGTAAGGGGCTTTCCTGAATCATAGAATCCATATCCCTTCACAAAAGAGGCCGTGTCCACACTGCTTCTGAATGGTTTATCTCCCGTGTGCTGCTTAAGCTGCTGGTAGAAGTTTACGTTGAAATAAAATCGCTTTGCACATGCCCCACACCTCAACAGTTTCTGGCTGCTTGGTTTTCCCTGGTGCTCAGCCAAGTGGAAAATGTCTCTCAAGACCGGACCACACATCTCACAGGGGTGGCTCTTCCGGGAAGACAGAGCTGCCTTGGACGCGCTGGCCTGTGACACACCTACGGAAACGCTCTGTTCAAGGGGTGAGTCCGCATCCTCTGCTCCACAGCAGCAACCTGAAAGCAAAGAAACTCTGATGAAATACATGGTGACTAACGTGAGGGGGTAAGCCCATCACACATAAGCACCTGTCTCGTGTACGCACGAGTTCATTAGATGCTTTACCAGACATGGGAGTTGCAATTCAGGTAGAGTAGTGCCCGCTCTGCGTTACTGGGCCCTGAGGTCAAAGCACTGTTGACAGCTCACTGGAAGGACAGAAAACTGGGGTTTGGTGCAAGGAAGAGAGCCTGGGTCCACAGCCTGTTTCTCTGCCCAAAGCATCCACGAGGTTTTTTCTGCTACTGATATTTAGCTGAGGAGGAGGCTGCTGAAAAATCCAATCACAAGAAATCTGTGGTTGTTCAAGGTCAGTTTAAGGACACAGGAACATTTCCCGGCAAATGGGCAGAGGTGAATGTTGGAGAACACAGGAAGGGCAGTGAGAGAAATGCGTAAGATGTGGAGGCCCGAGACAGCAATCACCCCTGCGCGGAAGTCACAGGACTACCAGCAGAGTAGAACTCACAAGTCCAAAACTGTCAACAGTGAAGAAGACAGGAACGAGGTGTGGCCGTTGGCAATGGCACCAAACTCCAGTTGAACAAAGGTGCCTCGTGTAATCTGAACACAGTCCTGCTATCACACCTCCCCAGCTGCCGTGAGCTCACCTGGTCATTCGGGATCGTGTCCATCCTCTGCTGCACAATGGACTGTTCCCTGTAAGCTGCAGCCGAGCAACGACAGGACACAGGGAGGGTAGAAATACTGAAGAAAGCTGGCCAGGTGGACGGCCAGGAGTGTCCCAGGGCTACTCAGCACACCACAGACTCAGAAAAGCAATCTATGTGACTGATGTCTGCAGGATGGTAGAATACAGGATCCCACCTTCACCCCAACAAAAAGCAATTCAACAGCTATCCATGAATGATGGTAGCCTCGGAGGGCTCAAGAGTCTAATCAAGACTGTCTAATACACAGTGAAGCATAAAACAGAGCACAAGCACACAGAAAGGATGACTGGAGATGGTATTAGCAGAGACATGTGGGGAGGGGTAGGAAATAGGGGCTAGGGGTGTTGGGTGGCTCAGTCTGTTAAGCGTCTGACTTCGGCTTAGGTCATGATCTCATGGTCCATGGGTTCGAGCCCTGTGTTGGGCTCTGTGTTGACAGCTAGCTCAGCGCCTGGAGCCTGTTTCAGATTATGTCTCCCTCTCTCTCTGACCCTCCCATGCTCACACTGTAGAAATAAATAAAACATTAAAAATTAAAAAAAAAATGGAAATAGAGGCTGGGGCATCTTTATCAGCCGCCAGGTGGGTGCTACTGCGCTCCCTGCTCTGCAAAGATTTCTGCTGCCTGCTCCACAGAGGACACTGGCAACCATGTCACTGATCTCCTAAATCAGGAAGCAAAGAAATCTTGAAAACAAAAATCAGAACTGAAGGCAGCACATTTCTGATTTCAAACAAAATTACAATTAGAGTACTCAGAACAATATGGCACTGGCATAAAATAGACTAGTGCAACAGAATAAAGAGCTCAAAGGTCAAACTATACATATAACTAACTGATTTTTGGCAATTTGCCAAGAGTACTCTGCAGAAAAAATAAATTGTTATTGCTGTTGTGAAATCTGAATATCCAAATGAAAAAAATAATGTACAGGATCTCCATCTTATGGCACTCATGGAAATAAACTTGCAATTAATTAAAAATTTCAACATATGACATCAAACTCTAAAACTCTTAGAAAAAAATCTAGGAAAAGTCTCCTTAACTTCACTGCTGCCAATTTTTTTTTTGATATGACATCAAAAACACACAGAAGAAAATCAAAAAGAAACAAGTAGGATTATAATAAGTTGAAAAGTAGAAGCAGAAGACAGAGAAAAGGAGACAATTGGCCAATAAGGGCTCAGAGCACTAATCATCAGGAAATGCAAATCAAAATAATAAGCTATATGGGGTGCCTGGGGGGCTCAGTCGTTTTATGCATACTCTTGATTTCTGCTCAACACTCAGTGTGGAGCCTGCAGAAGATTTTTTCCCCCTTGCTTATATGTGCTATCTCTATCACTCTCTATCAAAAACAAAACAAAACAAAAAACTCCCACAAGGTATCACCTTATACTTGTTAAAATGGCTATTACCAAAAACACAAGAGGTGACACGTTCGTAACGATGTCGAGGAAAAAGAACCCCTGAACCCTGTTGATGGGAATGTAAATCAAGGAAGTCAGTATGGAAAATAATAGGACTCACACCAAAAATTTAGAATCGAGCTACCATATGGCCCACCACTTCCATTTCTAGGTATGTATCCCTAGGAAACAAAATCAGAATCTACACAAAGTGTCTTCACACCCACATCCACTGCACTATTATTCACAACAGTATATACAGGGAAACATGATTAAGTATGCATGAGTGGGTAAGTGACAACACTTAGTACACACACAAGTGCAGGAATATTCAGCCATAAAAAAGAAGGCAAAATGGGCACTTACCACAACACAGATGAACACGGAAAAGCTTACTCTAAGTGAAATAAACCACACAGGACAAGACAAATACTGCATGGTATTTTATTTGGATAGTCTTTCAAAATATTCGAACTCAGAGACAGAAAGTAGAATGCCAGAAGCTCAGGACTGGGGGATATGGGGAGATGATGGTTATGGGTACACACTTTCATTTAAAAGATGAGTAAGTTTGAGGATTTAAATGATACCATGTTGACTACACATGTCAATACTGTACTGTAACTTAAAATTTGCTGAGAATAGACAAGCTTTCTCACCACCAGCCTGAAAAAGGTAATTATGTCAAGTAATCACTGCATTGATCACCTTCATTTTGGTAATAATTTCATAATGTTTAAGTATATCAATTTATCTTATACTTGCAGGGGTGCCTGGGTGGCACACTGTCTCTCTCAGAAATAAATAAGAACATTAAAAAAATTAAAAAATAATAATATACTTGCAATAGTATAATTTTATTTGTCAATCAAACCTCAACAGTGTTGAATGGAGAAGGGCAGGCAGAAGAAGAAATGTAAACACTATAAGAAAAACCACACAAAATAGTCTTGAGAAGTAGCCCATAGTCCACTGAAGTACTGATCAAGCTAATGCCTGCATTTTCCAGCACAGGCAGACACAAGAAAATGTCACCAAAGGGAAGAGATCAAAACCTGGGCCACAGAAATGGCATAGATCGGGACACACTGACCCACCCAGGGAGAGGGCAAGCAAGGTGCAATCCATCCACCTCAACTACTGACTACCAAACTCAAATCTTACCCTATGAGGGTTCGGACAGAGGGCACTGGGCTGCAAGGGCAGAGACACAGGGCAGGCAACAACGCAGCCGTACCAGCAAATGCAGCCAGGAAGGAAGCTGGGGAAGCAAGCAAGGCCCACCGTCCACACCTGAGAATGAAAAGCCATCGCCTGGGAATGGCAGGAGGAAGTGGGTAGAGGGAAGGGGGTGTAAATGACAATACAGGGCCCAGTCCAGGTCACTGGGGAGGGGGAGGGCCTTACCCAGGGAGGATATAAGTGTAAAGTTCTCCAGCATCACATCATAGTACAGCCGTCTCTGAGCCTCATCCAGAAGGCTCCATTCCTTCGAGGAGAAGTAGATGGCAATGTCCTCAAAGGTCACATCACCCTGTCAGAAAGGGACAGATGAAACCATGAACATTCTCTCTCTGAGAACCCACAATCCAACCTCTCACACATACACCCCATTCTCCCCCAGACACCCCAGATCCTACCTCAGACTAAATACCAGGTCCTGGTGCCACTGATGCCACTGTCTCCTCACCTTCCCACCAATCGCGGTGCTCAATCCACAGCAATAAGAGGCAGGGCTGGGGCACAGATGCAATCTGCAGTCTGGGGTTGGCCTGCAAGTGCCACCCTTTCTGCCTGGAAATTCTGGAGGAGTCTCCCAGAATGTGGCCTCAAACACAGCAAATTACAGACCCAACTGGACCAGTCAGTCTTCACTACCAGGGCCCTGAGGCCCTAAGCTCACACTCACACTCCCTCTCCACATGAGCATGACTGCGGTCTGCATCTCCCTCACACCTTCAGACCCCACAGCTGAGCCCCAACAGCTCAATGCCACACACCAAAGGAAGCCCCCAGGAAGCACACTTGTACCTGTCACATGACATCCAAAGGATGTGTGACAAATTCAAACAGGTTCCACAACAACCCCACCACTATCATGGATCCCAACTGAGGGAAAGTCTCAAACGCTGCTGAGAAGGCCCCCTCGCCTGCCTGGGATCCTGGCCTCAGGGACGCACACCCACAGACACATGTCAACTTCAGAGGCTCACAGTCACTCTAATACTTCTGTGTTGCCCATGCTGTCCCTTCAACGGTCCCAACCCTCCCCTCTGCACTGAACCTTTGTGGAAACCCCAGCCCTAAGGGGCTCCCTGGCAGGCACAGAGACTCAACAAATGACCACACCTGCCCCAGACCTTATCCAACAGCAAGACTTTGAAACGGCCCCGACACCATAAAAACCCACCACAAAATTCTGGGAAGCCCTACACCTCTGAATAAAGAGCAGCCCAGTCTCACTCTCACCTTGTCTCAATTACTCCTGGGTGTCCTCAGCCTCTCTTGTGCCATCATCCCACGGAAGCCTGACCCATCTATCTGCCAGATCACGCTCTCTCCTCCACCGGTGCCCGCACGGACCAGCAACCCAACCAGGTGCTGAGCCAGAGAACCACGCTTCAGCACGATTCCCAAAGGCCCTCTGACCTACAAATACCAGTGCCGCGACACTCTGCCTCCCTTCCTCAACGTGACCCAAACCTCCACCCCGGGCCACACAACAGCCATCACTTTTCAAGGTCTCCATCCTGAAACGCTCCCCCGGATCCCCGATATGTCCTGTCCAGCTGCCCTCTTGATGCCATCACGCACGCTCCTTTGAACACTAAGCTCCAACGAGGTCTCAAAACAACTTAGGGGATCTCCACGGACAATCAGCCTGCCACCTTCCATCCAGCTGATGGGAGCTTCCATCCCTTCAGCTACTAAGACCTGTGAAAATGAATGACGAAAACCTCACTACAGTGGGGCTGGGAGGACGCAGCTGGGGGAGCTCTCACCCACCGCCGCCATGAGCAATGCAGACCCAACAGGAAGAGACACTTGGCCTTCGATGGGGAAGCTACTTTACTTGTCCAGAGGGGAAAAGACCAGCTTTCCGGACCATCCCACCCAACAGCTCAGCCGATGGGAAGCCGCCATACTCTGACTTCCCATTTGCTCTCATGGACTTGTTTGTAGTTTTTAACAGACTTCCCAGCTTAGCCCCTTCCCCTTTACAAAAGCCTACCTCTCTGTGTCCTCCACACTGGCCTACTGTTCAGCCTCAGCTCGTTTGTTTGCAGATTGCAGTTCTCTTTCACTCCCAAAGAAACTCGTTTTTGCGCGTCAATTAAGTGGCCGTTTATGCCTTAAAGTTAAAGGATCAAAAGGCCTCCGGTATTCCGGGACTCCTCCCTTTCCCTTGTCACCAGCGACGCCCCAAATTTGGCTTGGCCCTTCTCACCCACGGAGCCAAAATTCAACCGCTTCTCTGACATCCACGGTGGCCATTCTGGTCCATCAACGAAAACATTCGGTCGTGCAGGCACCTCCTCCTGCGCTCCCTGTCCCCTCGCTCCCCCCGCAGTGTGTCCTCTCCGCAGCCAGACGAAGCCTATTTACACCTGGGTTACACCGCCGTCACTGCCGCCAGGATGGTCGGACCGGTCAGGCAGCCAGGTGACAGGCCTCACTGGCACCGCTGCAACTTGTGTTCGCTGAAAGGACGGAGACCTGCTGGACCCTGCTGGTGGCGCAGGCCCCTCCCCTGCAGCCCCTATACCAGCCGGACCATCCCCTGCAGCCCGCTCCCGCACCCCCTCACGCTGGCGCTCAGACATGGGGTCCCCGCCCGAGTCCCTTCCCGTCCCCGACACCGCGACCCGGGCCGCAGGGATGCGAGCAGGCGCAGGGCACTGGGGCCTCGACCGTCTAGGTGGGAGAAGGGCGGGGAAGGCCTGGGGGCCGGGCTTGTACCTGAGCCGGGTCCCTGGGCGCGGCCGCTGCCATCGGACTCGTGTGGGAAAACCGACACTCCGGCCCGCGGTCCCGTTCCGGCCCCAGCGCTGAACAGCCCAGGAGCGTCAGCGAGTCGCGACCCCCAGTCTATGTGGCGGGGATGTCGCCTCCCCTCGTGCTTTCTCAGTTTGCCACTTCAACTCGGAAACTCCGCTCCCGAACCTTAGAGGGTGGACAGATCTAAGGCAAAGCCAGAAGTCGTCCGAGGCGGTGGAGCAGGAAGTCCCGCCCCCAGCGGCTGCGCACGCCTGAAATCACTCACCCTGTTCTCTCATTGGCTCCTTGTTATGTCCTCTGTCCAGACTCTTCCGGGTACGGTAGTTCCCCGGCGCACCAGCCGCCACCATAAATGCGTTCTGCATCCTGGAGCTTTGGACGCTAGGCCCTTAGAGGGCCGCTGGGAACTGCTGGTCCTACGAATGGGGAACTGCTTTGTACCTTGTTAAAGACAGAGAAGAACCCTGATTTCACACTCCGTGAAGCTCAATCAGCTTCCAAAGGAGATTATTTTAAGTGTTCCCAAATCCTCTTCCTGAGGTAAATGACACATCATTCAACCTTGTACAGCACTTCAGAAAAAAAAGGAGTCTGTGCGTAGCTCCTCAGCTGAGGAGTCTAGCAAGCTCTTCAAACGCTTGCAGCCTGAAGCCTTAGAGTCAGTTTTGTAATCGGTTAGGAACAATAGAAAAGTTCCTTTTAACAACATAAATTCAGCCCAGTGCATTTTAAGGGTCTTTTGCCTGTATTCATTGATTTGTGAATTGGGCAGCATCACATCTAGCAAGTAGAGGGAAGCTCCACAGGACTACAGAAAGGAAAAGGTGTTTAAAGGTCGGACAAAACCATCATAAACAATAAATGATTATGTCTTTTGAGGTCAACTTAATTGGGGGGACAAGTGGGTCTTATTAGAAGAATACCTTGTCTTCCTTTGGGCGATGGAGAGGACACATTCATGTGGCTAATTACCTTTTTGGTGCTGACCACAAAATTCTTCACTTACCAGTGGAAACAGTTTCTGGGGGTACAACGAGTTTAGGTATTATGCCCAGGTTTGGTGAAATGACCTAGCAGAAGTGACTCCATCTGGGGTCTCTGGTTTCCTTTGTCACACCCCATCCAGGTCTGTGACAGGAAAGAAGAAAGATGAACTGCAGGCCACCCTGAATTAAGTGGACAATGAGGAGGTCAGCGTCTGGTTCCACAAAACCCTTCATTTACCTGTATAGTGATTGTTCCCATCTATTTAGGAACACTTTTATCCATATATTTCTTACTCCATGTTCTCAGATATACTCAATTCCTTATTCCTTATAGGAGTTTGACATCAATCTCAAACAGAGAGCAACTTAATTGTTGGTAGTTTTGGTACCGAACACAAGTTGCCATTTTAGTTGGAGTGAGTGTGCAAATGGAGAATCTGAAACTAATGATCTCATCTCCTTGCTGGGAAGTGAATCTCATTTCTTCAGGCACTGGCAGTAGGAATTGAAATTATCTAGAAAATCAGATGTGAAATATATATATATATATATTTTTTTCCCCCTAGGAGAGAGAGAGAGACAGCGTGAGCAGGGGAGGGTCAGAGAGAGAGGGAGTCACAGACCGAAACAGGCTCCAGGCTCTGAGCTGGCAGTCAGCACAGAGCCCGATGCGGGGCTCGAACCCACGAACCGGGAGATCATGACCTAAGTCGGACGCTTAACTGACTAAGCCACCCAGGCGCCCCAATGAAGTGCCCATTTCAGAAAGCAGTTCATAACGTTTATCTATTGGTTTAAAGACAGAGGCAGACATACCTATGGGCAAACCCACATTCCATCTCCCGACACATCAGTAAAGACCAAAAACAGAACTTTTATTTTATTTTTTAGATGTTTATTTTTGAGGGCACAACCAGATGAGGGATAGAGAGGGCATTAGGGGATCCAACGCAGGCTCTGTTCTGACAGCAGTGAGCGCTACGTGGGGCTGGAACTAAGGAACTACAAGATCATGACCTAAGCTGAAGTTGGACACTTTAATGAGTGAACCTTGGAACTCACAGAAATCTTAGAAGAAGGCTCTGTGTGGTCTGAGAAAGGTTAGAATCAAACAGAGCATGTGACTGTGCCAGACCAATATGCTTGGACTTTGTGAGGCTTTTATCTCCAAAATGTGAATTTTCATTCCTGCAGACATTGAGCAAATACTACTGTCCAGCTTAAAAATAAATAGCCAGTTATTTTACTAGCAAACAGAGTTTATTTAGGAATATCAGAGGAATTTCAGCAGGCAAGTGTCCACAGGGAAGTGTCAAGAGATGCAGGCAAAGTCAGTTTTTATGAGGTAAGGAGGAGACTGGGGAGTGTTGCTTTCAGTGAAAGTTTACTGAGGAACAGCAGGGTGAGGCTGTGGCAGATATTCCTTGGCTGCATGCTTTTATTAGTGTGTCCTCGTTGGGGCAAGGAAAGACCATCCTGCTTTTTATTAAAGGCAGGAGACTAGCTTCCTACTCGGAATGTATCCTGCTTTGTCAAAATAAAAATTATATTCCTTCCTCCTGCAGATTATGTCCTACAGCATGAGAGCTCCCTCATTTCATCCTCCTGACTCCATTTTTAAAGAGATTTCCTTTACTAATTTTCACACTACTTTGGAGAGAGACCTAAAGAGGACATTTCAGGTACTTGGAATAGTTAAAATGGAAAAGAACTTGCAATGTCATATTTAGGGTCACCTGGCTGTTTCAGTCAGTTAAGGGTCAGACTTCTGATTTCAGCTCAGGTCATGATTTCAGGGCTCATGAGACTGAGCCCCTGCACTGACAGTGCAAAGGCTGCTTGGGATTCTCTTTCTTCCTCTCTCTATCGCTGCCCTGCTACTCTCTCTGTCTCTCTCAAAATGAATAAGTCAACTTAAAAATTGTCATGTTTATTCACTGTCTTAACAAATTTGCATTGTGCACATTCTGGGTTTTCAGGAACTTTTGGTAGATGTGTGGGAGAAATGCAGAGAGAAGACAAGCAGTCCCATTGTCATGTGGCTTTTATTATGTTCAGGGAAAACACAGGAAACCTGAAAGCAGAAATACTAAGTTATATTGTATGTTAGAATGTGGCAGATGCGATGAAAAGAGGAGAGGTGATTTTTTGAGAAGAGGGGATTGGATGTAATATTACATTGCACAGTGAGGAACTCCTTTTTTTTTTTTTTTTTAAAGTTTATTTCTTTTGAGAGAGAGAGAGAGTGGTGGGGGTCGCAGAGAGAGAGAGGAAGAGAGAAGAGAATCCCAAGCAGGCTGTGCACTGACAGACTTCGGTCTCAAACACATGAACCGTGAGACCATGACCTGAGCCAAAATCAACAGCCAGATGCCCACTGGACTGAGCCACCCAGGCGCCCTATGCAAGGAACCCCTTCTTAATAAGAGCAAGGATGAGTCATGTGGGTTTTAATCTTTTTAGTTCTTTTAAAAGATAAAGTTGGGGGCACCTGGGTGGCTCAGTTGATTAAGCGTCCAACTTTGGCTCAGGGCATGATCTCACGGTTCATGAGTTCGAGCCCTCCGTCCGGCTCTGTGCTGACAGCTAGCTCAGAGCCTGGAGCCTGTTTCAGATTCTGTGTCTCCCTCTTTCTCTGACCCTCCTCTGCTCACGCTGTCACTCTCTCTCTCAGAATTAAATAAAAAACATTTTTAAAAAATTTAAAAGATAAAGTTGATGTGGTTTTGGAGTGGTGGTGAGGGTCCAGAGCCGATGGCCAAGAAAGAATTCTTAAGACATCTTTGGTGCCAAAAGGTGAGTTTATGAAAGCATGGGGACAGGGCCTATGGGCAGAAAAAGCTGCACCGGGGCTGTGAGGAGTCACTAGTTATATACTATAGAGTGGGAGAGGTAAAGGCAAAGGAGGTTTCTGGAAGAACTTTCCTAGGCTACAGGAAACACATAAGTTAAGGGAGGCCTGGTTATTGTCAAGCTTTGGTTGTTTTTTCCTCAGTAAGACATTAACATTAAAATGGTAGGCAGTTCCTGTAGGAATGCTTTTCTCTGCCTCAAGTCTTTGTCAATGGGTGCAGATCATAAAGAAAGTTAATTGCGTTTGCCAAATCCTTCTTGCCATGTTGGGGCTTTGGGAACCTGAGTCTATGGGTTTCTGGAGGCTGGACTATTGACAAGATTGCCTTTTTCTTGTAATTGACTTAGACAGTTGTAAACTGATTAATACTCACATCCTGCGTGACTATCGTCTCTATCAGTTAGCCGTTTGTTGTCTCCTTCTGTTAGCTTAGGGCAGTCAGGAATGCCTGAGGATAGACTCTCCATCAGTTTACAAATATCTTAGTATATTTTTTTTAAAAAGCAATCTTATCAATAGCCTAATCTCCAGAAACCTATAGACTCAGTCTCCTGGATCCCCAACATCACCCTCTGCTCCATAGTGATGTGAGGAACAAAAGCAAAAAGGAAATGGCAGATAAAATCAAATCTCCTTATAACCTACAGCCCGTTGACAGATACTTGAGGCCAGGAAAGTAAAATGTTTCTCCAGGAACTCGCTATTGTCTTAATGTTAATGCTTTGCTAGGGGGAAAAACAACCTTAGCATTACAATAGCTGGGCCTCCAGTAGCTTGTGAGTCTTTAGCTTATGAAAGTCTCTTTGGAAATTTCTCTTTTGATTTTAACCTCCCCCCACCCAACACACACCAAACTCCAAAGTATTTAACCAGTCATTCTACACAAACCCAGCGCATCTCTTTCTGCCCATGGGTCTTGTCTCTGTGCTTTGATAAAATCACGTTTTGATACTTCAAGAATTCTTTCTTGGCCTTTGGCTCTGGACACCACGAACCCCATGATCACCCCAAAAACTCGTCATATGGCGCCCAACGTGTGGGGCTATAAGTAATTTCAACTGGACTCCGAGCTTCGATGCAAACTTGGTAAGTACTTTCTCTTTTTTCCTTACTCTCATTTTCGGGGCCTTTCGAGGAGTATGGTCTTATTTGAACATTTTCTTATCAATTGCTCAGGCTGCCATCCTCTAGCCCGTGTGGCTACTCTATGTGGAGGAGAAGGCCCGCCTTTTGGCTAGAAGTTAGTCCCCGGGCCGGAATGGTAATAAGACCCAGAAACTTGACTCCCTATCTTTTTCCTGTCCTTTTACAAAGTTGTACGTCTTGGGCACAGGACAGCCACCCAAGTCATCAGG